CCTCCTCACCACAGGAGAGCTCTCAGCGCTGCTGAATATGACACCACCACACTGCTCTACCCAGATGGGACTTGTGTCTACTCACTATTGCTCCCATGGTTGGGTGCGTGTGGACATTACCTAGTTCCATGATGCCACAGTTAGGGGACATGTATTTCATGGGGGGCTTTCTAAGAATGAGCAGGAGACAGTCAACACAGACAATGTATGTACGAATACTAAGATAAACCATGAAGATAACTCAAAATTTGTTTAAATGTTTTTAAGCCAGATTCATTCAGAATTACATCCCGACTAGCGACTCTACGTCCAAGTCATGTTCAGGTGTGCTCTCTGGTAATGGTTCTGATACTTGGAAGAGAGAAAACTGTCTTCAATATAGAAAAATGTGGGCTTCCAGCTAATTCTTTTGAGGATAATAGAAAATATGAGGGAATAAGCAGTGAGAAGAGATTCAGTCCAGGGGAGCCAGAGTAAACAGAGCAGCTTAAACAGAAGCTTTGGTGCTGGGAGCTTCATTGAGGACGTCACCTCATTGTTTCTTGAAGTTTCCTCAGCTGTTCAGATAGACAGGCTGTAGGTACGGAGGGAAGAAACTTCTAAAATATAAAGCCGTCAATATTTGTCCTCAAGCCGCCTTTAAAAGGCAAGGTAAAGGTAACATGCTTAAACTTGAATGGCTGACTGACACTGTCCTCTAAATTCCGTGGCAGCAGATGGTTGAATCCAGTGAGATGGTTTGTACTGCAGCTCAGGGTGGAGACCTCTGCTGGAGATTTGGGAAGAAGAGTGAGGCAGCAGCCGTGTTGAGGCTAGAGAGGTCAGGGCAGGCTCAGGTGGACCTGGCTTGCGGGCAGCACCAGAGGCCACTCCAGCTCCTGCCCGACGTCCGCCTCGGAGGTCTGCGGCACCCAGGCCCGGGGCGGGTGCAGCTCCGTGGAGTAGGCCCTGGCTGCTTCTGGGTGTCACGTCCATCGCTGAGGCTGGAGGCCCTGAGGTGGGGAGGGGCTGCCGTGGGCTCCAGTTGGTCCTCATGGGTTCGGTTGGTTTTTGTTCTCTCCTCCTTCCTGTTCATCTTTCCTTCTTCACTTGCTGTTCAGCTGACTTCGGCCAAATACCAGACATAGAAGCATCAGCCTCCCACAGACGATTTAGTTCCCTCTGTGTGAGGTCAAGTCCGACAATAAATCCCTTGTTCTGTATCGCTCTTAGCACTTCTGTTTCTTTGATCAAACTATAAGTGATCCAGGGTTACTTCCAAATTACCTTTTCTAATTAAGGGTCAGTATGTACAGATTGAGGATCTTGGCATAGAAATCTGCACCTATTTCTAAGAGTCTATAAACCAGGCGATTAATTAATTAATTTAATTTACCCTTTTTTTTTTGGAAAGAGAAGTGGGTGAAGGGAAGGGAAAGTAGACAGTCTGCCACTGGATTGACAAATTGACCAACTGACAAATTGACAAATGCAAGCTCACAGGCCAAATCTGCCCCACTGCCTATTTTTGTAAATAAAGTTTTATTTGGACATAGCCATGCCCATTTGTTTACTTATTATCTATGACTGATTTTGCAACATAACAGCAGAGACTTGTGCAGTATGAAAGAGACTATATGGCCTACAAAGCCTAAAATACTTATTACCGGGACCTTTATAAAAAAACAAAAAAACTTTTTCTGATCCCTATTCCTAACCTTAAAGGTAGAATCCTTTTAGCAGGTTCAATATTAAAATAGTATTAGTTTCTATTTTAAAAAGCTTTATTAGAATTTCTTATATAAAGATCTTTCAGTAAAGGATTATAAAAAGATTGGGGCCTTTATAATGTATTAATTATAACCATGTATTAATCATCTACTTCGTGTTAGACACTGGGAAATATAAATTTGCTCCACAATACATCTTATGGATAATCAAAAATTTAAAGAGCCTTTTAAATTTCCCAGGATAACATAACTAGGGTTACAGAGTCAATAGTAAAACTCAAATTCTATTCTAACTTTTAATCTTCAAGACTCCTCTGGCAATATTTATATTAAATATTTAGTAGAGTCTTTACTACTGACAAAGTTCAGTGAACCAATACTTTACAAAAACAGAAATAAGTTGCATTTAATATAATTACATGCAAAATTAAAAACACAACTTCACAAATAACCAAAGATATGAGGTTATAAGTGCCTTTGAAATGCTTAACAGGTAATATAAAAATATAATTATAATCCATCTTTTTAAAAAAATGCTATAATGTTTAATAACAGCATTTTGAGCATGACTCTTAGCCAATGCTTTATCTGTTCTTATATAATTTGTACCTTCTTCCAAGCTATTCCTGTTTTTTACATGTTTGTCCATTTTGATACGCTGACACCTCGTTTAAAAAAAAATCCTTAATAGCTACATAGCTATATTTAACTTTTTAAAAAAGCATCTCATAACAAAATCTGTCGTATTTCAAACATTCTTTTTAAAGAGAAGTTAAAATCCTAGTAAATCTTAGCCCATGCTGCCAGATTACATACCAGCTTAAGCAATATTATGACTTCTTGTGTGCAGTCCTTCATTATTCTTCATCAAGGTTAGAAAACCTCAGCTTTGGGATACAATAGATGGACCCATTCTACTGTCAGCACTGTTTTAGCTTTTGAAATGTACCCTGTGTTTCCATTTTTTTTTTCTTCTTTAAATGTTCATTCCCTCTCTCTTCCTTTCCCTCACTGCTCTCTCTGCCTTTTCTTTTCCTTTCTCCTTGGAAGCAGAGCTGAAGGAAGTTCTGTGTTGCAGGGTATGTTCAGGAGGCTATTGGGGGGATGAGGGCACTGATTCATGTTGGTTTCCCCCTGGCCTCTAACCATTAGGCAAGTAACTTTATCTTTGGGGGGATTGATTTGCTTTCTAAAACGTAGGGAGTATAAGTCAACCACGTTGGATTTAAGACAGACCTACACTGTACGAAAGCCCATTCTTTCAGAGAGCAAAGATCCAATTTTGCAAATATCATGACAACAGTGCTGGAGATAATCCCAAAACATAGAAACAGTGAGGCCACTATGGACAGACAAAAAAAAATAGAAAGGGGTTCTCTGTAAAGCAGAGAAAAAGATACCTGAAAATGCAAAGAAAACATGTTAAGGAAAGGCAAATGAAGGAGCAATCCACTGTGGTTCCACTGGGCCAGACGGAAGAAAAAGACACTGAAGATGTTTTGATGAGAATAATGGTTCTGTGACTGGAGATGCCAGGCGCCCTGCCCTTGAGCCAGCTCCAAGGGCACATGCAGAAGAGTCAGCTTCCTCCTCCAGTGGTGGGCAGAGAGATGACGCACTCTTCCATTCCTATCAC